TTTCTATTGCTGACCACTGTCAGACACAAAAATTGATGGGAAATACAAAATGTTAGAGTTGTCACGAGATCAAGGGATTAGGGGAAATCCTCCAATGAGGACATATCTTCCTGTATCAAAGATGAGAATTATGTTCACTTTGGAGAGATGTTCTCTCATTTCCTGTTGTTAGGGATGTCCCGATTCCACTTTTTCAGGACCAAGTACAAGTACATCCCCTCATGTACTTGCCGATACTTTTTTTTTTTAAAGGGACAGGTGACTTTAAATGATCCATAGTACAACTGCATGTTATGTACAATGGATCATGGTTTAACCTATTCATGTTAGCAGGTTCCCCCCCTCCCAGCCATCACCCATAGGGGCTTACCTTACTCCTGCAGAACCTCTTCTGAGTCCTTGGTGGCCAGTGGAGGGGCGCAGGAGAGGGTCCTCCCAATGACCCAAACAGCAGGATGTGGTGGCCTGGCGGTGCCTGCAGAGACTGTACAGGCACCGCCAGGCTAAACACTCCTTGCAGTGACAGAGCCACCTGTCACATCCCCGCACAGCAGCCGCCGGGACATACAGCTGTCACTGTCCGAGTTTACTGCAGTTCACACTGAACCGCAATAAAGTCTGTGACAGCTGTATGTCCCCGCAGTGGCTGTGCAGGGATGTACTCTGTCACCAGTGGCAGAGAACGGCTCTATCTGCGGGTGTACAAATCCCCACCCCCCGGATCCACCACTGATGTCGGCAGAGCTGGACGTCGGCGTCACTGCTGTGGGTGGAGCTCCAGGTGGAATCCTCTGGGCAGTCTCCAGCCTACATTAGGACCCCAGCTGGATCTCCTCCCACAGCAGTGACGCGACGCTCCTCCGCACAGCCACCACGGAAGGTAAAGTAAAAAAAAACAAAAACATAGCGCAAGCTTCGGCGCTTTGTATCGGGGCATTTTGACAAGTACAAGTACTTGTCAAAATGCCCTGTATCGGGCCCGATTCCGATGCTAGCATCGGTATCGGGACATCCCTACCTGTTGTGTATGCAAATCAGGAAGTAAAGGGCAAACTCCCCAAAGAGAAGCAAGCAGCAAAAAAAAAAAAACCCTGATTGGAGTTGTAACCTTTCTTCATTCCAAAACTTTAAAAAAAAAAAGAAGTAGTTTTGGCTTTGCATACAGTTTACCTTTATGTAAAATCTAAAGTAAATCTAAAACCTAAGTGGATATTTACTTTTGCTCAAGCATTGTGTATCTAACAATAGATTTTTATTTTCAGTACTGTGTATAGAATGTGATGACTCCAGGACCTTAGACCGCAGCAGCGGAGGGGAGCAAGGTGGAGGGGACCGGTCTAAGAGTAAGCCGGCTTTGAGGATCAGGCAAGCACAACTTTTTTTTTTAACCTAGACAGAAACAAGCACTTAAAGTGACATTAAACCCTCAGATTTTTTAACATAAACCAATACTGTAATGTGCACCTTACTGTAATCCACGGTAGTTTCCCTTCTCTTTGCTGCTCTTCCTTTTAAATCTGTATCTCTTCTCATGCTGGGGGAGAACTTCCCTTTGCAGCTGAGTGCCTCTTCCTGTAGTGCTGGCTCAGGTTACAAACCAATACACAGACACCATGTATCCATTCCAGAGACAAGGCAGTCTGCTGCAAAACAGAAGTTCTGCCCAGCATGAGAAGAGATACAGATTTAAAAGGAAGAGCAGCAAAGAGAAGGGAAACAGCCATGTATTACAGTAAGGCACACATTACAGTATTGTTTTATGTTAAAAAAAATCTGAGGGTTTAATGTCACTTTAACCCTTGCAGTGCAGGCATATCTTTAACCTGACCCATAACGTCACCCAACTCAAGCTTAAAGTACAACTAAAAGAAACATTTTTTTCATAATGGACAGAGTAGGAGAGGGTTTTAACTGCTGTTAGTTTTTCGTGTTTTTGCCATCTGTGCCTTATTACAGATAATTCCCTTCACTTCCTATCCTCTACCCTTAACAGAAAGTGGGAGGATATCTTCTCAATGTGAAAACTGTCCCCTCTTAGACAGTCGCCACAAGTGTCCCCTTTTGAAGCTTTTCCTTCTATTCCTGTTTTGGTGGCAACTCAAAATTTTGGATTTACTCTCACTTTCAATCCTAATGACATTGATGATCAGGACAATTAGAGCGAGAGACACAGACAGCAACAAAAACCTGAAAATGGTTCTAACCATTCACCACAAATGAAACTTTTGACATAGGAAGCCTAAAGCTGGCCATACACTGCTTAGATTATTGAAAGCACTTTCTCATGAAAGAACTTTGTTTCGACTTTCTGTTAGCTATTTGGTATAAAATTCATTTCAGTACAGCGCTGCATGACGGAATAAATGTCAGTTAAAGTACCGCAGCGCTGAATACTGAAAAATGGCCTGGATGGGAAGGGGGTTTAACACTGCGGATGTCAACTGGTTAAATTGACGATCGTGACAAAAAAAGTCGAAGGAGCAGGATGGAAATTTTTTCTTGAACAAACCAAATTCTATCAGTGAATGTGGTTTTCTTTCTGGAAACTCAATTAATTCCAAAATCGAATGTTAAAATTAGGGATGCACCGATACCAAGTACCGTACTCGGTACAAGTACAGATACTTTTCCAGCTCCAAGACTAGACTAGAGAAAAATTCATAAGTTAGGAGGCAGCTGTCATTTGTAAGGAGCACACGGAGCTCCTGGGATTTGTACATCGCTGTTTTAATGTATGATTTTGTTTTTATGAATATATATGTGATGCACCGATACAATTTTTCCAAGGACAACTACTGATACTTGTCCAAGTATTCACAGATACAAGTACTGATACATTTTTGTTTATTGTCATGTGACAGTTTTTCTAAAACAATGCAGACTAATGATTTCAGGACAGTGGTGGAGTGCCAGAGCCAGGTCCCAGCTGCAACCGCTGTGACCCCGGTAGTTCTCATAAAAATGCCAAGTATCTGCACTGGTATCTGAACTGGTATCGGTACATCCCAAACTATAAACCTCTTGATTCTAAGCAAACATGCATTACAGAACTGCAAGTCTTTTTACATCCTTATACACTGAGTGGCCAGATTATTATGCCCACCCCATTAGTACTTCGTTGGGCCACCTTTTGCCTTCAATACTACGGCGATTCTTCTTGGCATTGACTCCACGAGATGTTGAAAGGTGATGCGAGGAATCTGACACCATGCCTGATGTAACGTCAGGGGGTCATAATAATCTGGCCACTCAGTGTATATCCTTCCAATATAATAATTAAACCTGAACATCAATACATTATCCAAGCCCTGTCTGCCTCAGTGTTAATTTCATTTACTAATAATTTTCGTCAATAACACTTTTTCAGGGACTAAAATTAAATAAAAATTAAGTTATGATGACTAAAATCATAACGAAAACGTATTGTTATTATATATATTATAGTTAGTCGACTAACTAAACTGGACTCAAATGTTAGGGAGAGACGATTTGGGAAGAGATCCAAATCAGAGCTTATCTCTTTGGACTTCCAGTGCCGGTTCCATTCTGGACAGCCGGGTAATATGCGCAATGGCATTACAGCCAATATAGTTTTTAATTTTAATATTTTAGAGTTGCACTTTTGCTTGAAAGAATGACAAATGTCATGTGCAAGTTGTTATAATCAATGCATATCCAATTACTGGTCCTTTGTTGAAAATACTCAATATTATTGTTTCTTTATAGGTCTTTAATCTAATTTTAAGATAAATCAAGACATGTTATATATCACAACAGTTAAATCTGTGCCTGTATTGTATGTTTAAACCTTAATACCATAAGTAATAACAGGTTAACAGATGTTTACTCCAGGAGTATATCATGAGATTCAAAACTCTAGAGAAATTCTTAAATTACTCTTTAGCTAAACTCACTACGTTTTAGTTGACTAAATCTACCGTAGAATTAGTCAACTAAAATCTTATGATATTTAGTGGACTAAAACAATTCAGATGACTAAAATATTACTAAAACTAAATGACAATGACTAAAGACTATGACTAAAATTACCCCAAAATTTGCTGTCAAAATGAACACTGGTCTGCCTGACATTTTGCAAATCAATAGGAGCAGTACGGACATCATTTCGCGATTCAGGGCTCATGGACATGGGCGTAATAAATGCTACGCTCGGCTAGAGTTTTTTTTTTTATACGCAGATCCGAACACAGCAGTATTGTATATGATAGGCTCATTCAGAAAGGTGCCTTGTGATATGCTTGCTTTGAGTTCTGCCACGTAAAAAATTCAGCCCTGGCGTTAAGTATTCCTGTGTACTGTGTACAGCCCTTTCATGTGCACCTCACTTTAAAAGCTAGTTATAAATCGATGACTGTGGTTGCTATTTGCTTCACTTGTGAGATCCCAACCCATCCCAGCCCTCAGACCAGCAGGCTTCCGGTTAAGACAATACCACCAGTCTGACCAGTATGTCCCAATACGTTCCCAGAGACGATCCCACTGTCACCAGAAACCTTCCCCTCCCCCGTGTGTCATTCCTGTTCACCATAATTATCAACCAGTCCAACTCAGCACATCACATAACTACATAAGCGGTTAGCAATGTGATCCATTGATAACCAATCTGATTCAATACAATTCCCAGAACACCCCACCAATGTCACCAGTATCTCCAGTATATTCCCTGCCAGTATACACATTCCTCCTTCTGTCAGAAAAATTCTGCATCTGCGGTCAGTATTCCTGCGTAATATACACGTAATATACATGAATACAAGCTGAGCTAAAGGAATATAAGAATGTTACAGAAATGGAAGAAATCTTCTCATCACACACGCATGTTTTTTCTATATAATCAGTAAAATACTTGCGTTTAGACAGGTAAACATGTATGTGGTTTTCAATGACATTTTCTCGTTTGGACCTCATTTGGGTGAATACACACATAAAAATGTACTCCGTATGTTGTTACAGATAGAACACAGTGAATGTTACATACCTGTATCAGACCAGTACATGCTTTTTTTAAAGGTGAATTCGTCTGCCAGCAAATAACTAGAATCTACAGGTCCCACATGCCATTGCAAGACTGACAGCCACAGGCATGACTCCCGGGGGCATGATAGGATGTGTAGTTTCACCACAGCTGGAGTGTTGATGTTGCCTACCCTTGGTTTAGTAATTCTTCAACATCTGACTTCTCAACTGCTATTGGATAAAACAAATCTATAAAATCCAGCCTGGCAGGGTCTAGTGGTTCTACAACATCTATGGGATCTATGAATCCAGCCTGGCAGGGTCTAGTGGTTCTACAACATCTACGGGATCTATAAATCCAGCCTGGCAGTGTCTAGTGGTTCTGCAACATCTACAGGATGTGGAAATCTGCTATAGGATTTCCAGTGGTCATGTCAGATTAAATAAAACTGTCCCTAGAAATGTCTCTCCTAATCAAATCTAAGAGCACAATGAAATGTCCTCATTTATTTCATACTCAATCCAATCCAAAACCTCTCATCCAATGATTATTCAAGGTTAGAATTCCTGAATAAAATCATCGCATAGAAACAAATGTGAAACATTTAGAACACCAGATAGGAAAAAGGATTGTATGGTCCCCTCACTCCAATACTAGAACCTTGTCCCTGGAAATCAAAAAGCAGTAAATTTAGGGCCCTTGTCATTACTGTTCTATTAGAGGGCCCCCAGATAAGTGACACTACCCCCAGTTACCTGTACTATATTCCATTGCCATGGAGACCCCGGCCCCCCTCCCCTCAGCATTAAACCCCCATGGTGATTTTACCTTTCGTTCATCTGAGGCGGCACACAGGCTGGCCCGGGGGTCTCTCCTGACTGTTCCACGTGTCCCGGGGAGCCGGAGACCCCGACACAGCGGCAACAGCCCCCTCATCCTTTGCGAAGTTCGCCTCTTCTCGTGCCACTGTGTCCCCCCCTGTCCTCTCCTCACACCGGGGCTTGGGTGCTGTTGGGGCTCTCTGTCCTTCGGCTCCCAGGATATATCTCAGCTGTGCGGGGAGCCTCAGCCACTCACAGACTGGCAGTTGTGCCCCGAGCCAATCAGCGGCGAGAACAAGGTCCCACCCCGTCCCAGCCCTCAGACAAGCAGGCTTCCGGTTAAGACAATAACATAGTTGCCAACTGTTTCAGATTTCCCAGGACAGTCCTACTTTATAGCTGTGTCCCAGGCTTTGTCCTGCCCCATACAGCTTTAGCCTCCTATAGAAACCTACTGCGCATGACTTTGTGTGTCCGAGCCATCCCATACCATACAGACAGTTCAGGACCACCCCTCCTCCTCCCCTCCCCTCCCTGTGTGCAGTGTCATCACACCATGCTGCTGGGTGGGGGAGGGGTCTGGAGAGCAGGAAGCTGAGCACACCGAACGTCTGAAAGAAGTCTGCTTTAATAACTGCAAGACACTAAACTCAGGAGTTAGATCTTAAAAATGCATTCATGTAGCTTAACTAGTAACAAAAATGTATCTTATTTGTGTATCACGCAGCTGTAGATGCTTCAATCATCTCTGAATTGGTGCCGACACTGTCCTTCCTTCTGGAGGGTGGCTACTTTTGTTCCCTGTGGTCCCTGTGTGTGTTGTAAAGTAGTCATGGCTACAAGCTCGCTCCTGTGATGGACTACAATCTCACATTTAAATTACTCATTTCTCAGAATACCGAGAGCCGGTGTTCCATCACTTCTCTGGACCTGTGAGATTTCTGGACTTCTGGGGGAGTGTGAAGGGAGTCCACACATCTCACATGCTACTGCACAAGTGCGGGTCCAGACATTTTATAACACAATCCCGCTCTGTACAGCTGGGGTAGTTGTAATGCTACCGCGCTCATGCCGACGAGTGCCCGCCTTTTTGGGTCTGGTTTGTAGTACTGTATGTACATTACAGGAAGTTGGCTCTTGTTAGACATGCAGATGAGGGGTGCTTCTAGGTCACCAGTGAGGTTTTTTTTTTTTTTTTTACTGCTGTCTGTATCCTCATTAGAAAGATTTAATCTCACTTCCCGTCTTTGACAGGAAGTGAAAGGATGATTCACTCCTGTAAGGTCTTGTTCACACCAAGCGCGGAGCAGGTGCAGAGCAGATCAGTTGCAGACCGGATCAAAACTGCGTCCAATGTATTCCAATGGTGTTTTTTGCTCCAATTCACATCGCAGCGTGCAGTTCCAGAGCAGGTCCAGAGCAGGTGAAAAAACTACAGCAGGCCCTATTTTACCTGCTCTGGAACGCATGCAAACGCATCCAAAACGCATGCAAGTGCCTGGAATGCACTGAAAGCCCATGTGTGAACAATGCCTAAGGCCCAGTTCACACCTGGGCGTTTTGTAGTGCGTTCCTACGCTCTGCAAAACGCTCAAACACCGAAATCCCATTATTTCCTATGGGTATGGTTCACACCTGGGCGTATTACGGGCCGTATGAACGCGCTACAAAACGCCCTACGCCCAAAGAAGTACAGGAGCTTCTTTGGGGCGTTTTTGTCACGCGTTTCCATTGGGATACAGCCAAGTAGCCCTCGGAAACGCGCATATTCGATACGCCTAGGTGTGAACCCAGCCTAAGAGTCATCATGGGAAAAAGAGTCTCCACTAAAGCTTTATCACCAAGTCCTGTTTCCACGACAGCGCAAAATTTTCAAAATTCAATTGTCAAAGGGACAGAAAGTGAGGTGAAATCTTCTGAACAGGGGCACACACAGCAAAACAAACGTTACAGGGGGTTAACCCTTCCCTATGCTATTCAAAACCCCTCAAAAATGTTTGGGCTGGAGTTACACTTTAATTTTTTTTACCTGTTTCAACTTAAATACAAATTCAACTTCACCACTCAGGCTTAAAGGAGTACTATGGGGTTAAGGCTTTTCCCCATAGTTCTCCTTAGGGTAACGGGAGGACACAAACTAGCGTCCTCCTGTCACCCTAAACTCAGTATAGCTGCAGCTCGCGGCATACTGAGACGCCACAGTATACCGCGAGTACTGAGACGCTGCAGCTGAAGCGGATCCCGACAATTGTGCCGGGATCCGCCCAGCTGTGTGAGTGACAGCTGGCTCTGCCTATCAAGAGGCAGAGCCAGCTGTACCCGCCCCCTCCCCTGTCCGATCAGCCAGTCAGCGCTGGCGGATCGGGGGGGAATCCAGCCCCTCCCCCTGTCATGGCAGAGAGCTGTGACAGGATCGAGAGGTGAGCGAACGCCGGTATGTGTTCGCTCACCTCCCGATCTACTGAGCCGACCTGTGACAGTCTCATTGTCACAGGTCGGCTAGAACTATGAGGTCAGTGAAAAGCACTCACCTCATAGTTCTCCTTTAAGAACAAACCTACAGTCCCGATCTTGTTCGAAACCCGGGCACTGCCTGTACTAACTGTATATATAAAATATATATATACAGAGATAAACATATGTGTGCAGGTAAGAATACATATCTATTAATATATATGTATATATATTATTGCTCTCACTTCTACGTTTGTGGCAATACCAAACGTGTGTGGTGAAATCGTAGTTTACGTACATGTGCATGCCTTACACGCATGTGTTTATTCGCATGCATGCTTTTTTTTCCCATGCGATAAGTCCGAGGTTAGAGTCACCAAAGCAGCAAGGGAGGAGCCGGGGCCTAGGATTGGTTTTGGTCTGATAAATGCACGCATCCCTGGGGGTCAGCGCTCGTCGGCATGTATTCGCTCTAGAATTACCACAGTTATCCAAGTAACAGATGGAGCGATCAAAGGAACCATAACTGATTTAATGAGCCATTCGCAGTTTCACTGTACCGGCCGTGCGTACTTACATGTGCATGACTTCATCTTTGAGAGAAGCATATGCTACTGGCAGGATCAACCAGGTAACACTATTAAAAAAAATGTTTTAACCTAACTTTATTGTTATCACAAAGAGACTAACAAGCCCCTATGCGATGGCGTTTCGAGATTACTGGTTCTCTTTGTGGAGACATCTGGGTTCTATTAAGACCTCTGAAGTCTCCCCTGCCTTCCAATACAGATGCTCAACCACAGGGATATGTACCAGGCACTTCAGCCGGATTCTGACAGCTCTAAAGCAAGAAGTGCTGAGAGCACATTACTCCCAGCTCTCCATCCTGACACTGTTTGCCGTGGTCTCGGGTCCCCCAGAGGAGCAGGGGACCCCTAAAACCATGGCAGGGAGGGGCAGCACATTAGCAGACTACTACAAGTGATCTGGATGGCTTAGAGCATCCTCTGCTGAAAAAAATGATACCAAGATCATGGCTGAAGCCTTTGACACAGTTGACCACCTGCTTCTCCTTAATAAACTTAATTCCCTTGGCCTACAAGACTCTGCTTTCTCATGCTTCATCTCCTACCTATCTCACCGCACCTTCAGTGACACCTACAATTCTAACTCCTCCTCTCCTCTTCCTCTTTCCGTGGGGGTCCCCCAAGGGTCTGTCCTTGGGCCCCTTCTGTGTTATCCTTGACTCTGAGCTCTCCTTTCAGCCCCACATATAATTACTATCCAAATCTTGCCGACTCAACCTCCGTAACATTTCCAAAATACGCCCCTTTTTAACAAACGAATCCACAAAGCTTCTAATTCACTTCCTTGTAATCTCTCGTCTCGACTACTGTAACTCACTCCTTATTGGCCTACCACTAAGCAGGCTATCCCCCCATCAGTCTATCATGAATGCAGCTGCCAGACTCATCCCCCTTACCAACTGTTCAGTGTCTGCCGCCCCCCTCTGCCAATCCCTCCACTGGCTCCCACTTGTCCAACGAATAAAATTCCAAATACCGACAACATACAAAGCCATCTACAACTCCGCCCCAACCTAAATCACTGACCTCATCTCAAAATATCACCCAAACTGTCCTCTCCGCTCCTCTCAAGACCTCCTGCTCTCTAATTACCTCCTCCCATGCTCGCCTCCAGGACTTCTCCAGAGTGTCCCCCCCATCCTCTGGAACTCCTTACCACATTCTGTCAGCCTATCTCCTACGCTGACCACCTTTAGGCGATCCTTAAAAACCCATCTCTTCAGGGAAGCCTACCTCATCTCAACATTACTGCCTTTCATTTCCTCCAATAACTCAATCCAAACAATTATTATCTTTTGTATGACTTGCCCCTCCTACTAGATTGTACGCTCTCACAAGCATGGCCCTCCCAACCCTATTGTTCTGAAACTGTATTGTACTGTAAATTGTATTGTAACTGTACTGTCTCCACTATTTCGTAACGCGCTGCACAAATTGTTGGCGCTATATAAATCCAGTATAATAATAATCTTGGTACAACCACTTCAAGATGGGGACATATATGTAAGTCCGGCAGTCCTGAAGTGGTTCAAAGTGCTCTAATGACAATAATAATAGCACAGCAATGAACATACATCAGCACACTCCCATGCAATGTCTGAAAATAGCCTAAATTAGGTATCTTCAAACAAATGTTTGTGACGATATCTCCAATAGCAACCATATATTTAAACATTGTCTAGTGATAATAATAGGTATTTACAATGTTGATCACGGAGTTTGTTCTGCCTTTCGTGGTAATCATCCTGGGAAGAGGGGTCTGAGCCCAGAACCTCTGATGCCGTTTTTATTACCCCTCGATGGGAAAAGTGCACGTTGACCTTTTCTTTAGTAAAAGTTCCACCTGAGAAGGTGAGTTTTAGTCCAAAAGGTTGTAGGATGAGGGGAGGGGCATTGTATATTATATGCTTTCTGTTGGAGAGATCATCACTTTTGTTTTCTTTTTGGAAACCCCCATCTGGTTGTTTGCTATTTTCAGACATTGCATGAGAGTGAGTGAGTTCATCAAGGAGTGCATGCTCCTGCAGACATCGATTATTATTGTCATTAGGACACTTTTAAAGATATGGTTGCCGCTGGAGATATCATCATAAAGATGTGTATTTCCTGAGCAAACTGTAGAGAGATGCTGATTTGTTGCCATGGGCAACTGCTCCAGATTCTGTTTGCTCCAGTTTTGATAAATTCCCCCCACTATGCTTCTTGTACAACCACACCCATTTTAAATTATTGCTGTGCCCCTAATTACAGTTCCCCGATGCTGGCGACGTACACTGTACGTCGTCAGTCACGAAGGGGTTAAAAACAGAGGTTTAGGTACACTACAGTCTTCTGCAGAAAATGTGAAAGCCGCAGCGCCTCGCCAAGGCACCTCTATATAGTGCGGTCCTAACTCTAAACTATGAGAGTCTCCATCTTGGAGCACATGCAGCAAAAGATAAAATAGGGTGCAGGTATGTCAGGAGGAAGCCCAATCTCCTTAAAGGGACCCCGCACATCACAACGGCAGCTGAGAACTCCCATGCGTCACAACACCAAATCAGTCAAGCAAAACACTGGAGATTTTTTTTAAATGTTGGCAACTATACAACAATAAATAACATCAGTCTGATCACTATATCCCAATATGTCCTCACAGAGGATCCCACTGTCACCAGAACCCTTCCCCTCCCGCATATGTCATTCCAATTCGCCATTATCATCAGCCAGTCCAACTCAGCACATCACATAGGCAGTAAGCAGTGTGATTCATTGATGACCAATCAATACAATTCCCAGAACACCCCCCACCAATGTCACCAGTATCTCCAGTATATTCCCTGCCAGTATACACATTCCTCCTCGGTCATTTAATCCATTACAAGTCACAACACAAATCCCATCTGATCTGCACGGTACAAGTCAGCAAATGTCAGTTTATGGAAAGACACAGAACACATACAGCTAAAAATAAGGTGTGATGATGGTGTGGAGCCTAATTACAGAGCCGGGACATTGTTTTCATTATCCACAATAAAGGAATCCGTCTTCTAATAAACGTTACGTCCAGATCCGGACAGCTGTGGGGGTTTTGTTTAATTATGCAGAATGTAATTATATATATATATATATACACACACACGACAGACACACACACACAGCTCCCGTGTGCTGTGCTTGCTTTGCGTTGTGCGGTGTAAAAGCAAAGTAAAAAATTCTGCGTCCGTGGTCAGTGTCCCTGAGTAGTTTACACAGCCAGAGGAATGGAAGGAATGGAATGCACACGGCCGTAACAAATTCACTCCTCACATACGCATGTTTTTTTTCTGGACAAAAAGCTCCGGCGTAAATAAATCAGTAAAATATTTGCATTCAGACACGTGCATGCACATGCGTAAAATTCTTGTTCTGTTCAACCTGTTGTTTTCATTGAATTTGCCATGTTTGGACCCCATTTGGGAGAGGACACACGTAAGATGTATGCACTCAGAACACGCAGTGCATCGCAGTTTGTTGTGTATGGGGCTGCGTAGCCACAGACTGGTCAGGGTGCCCATGCTGACCCGTGTTCACTGCCAAAAGTGTCTACAATGGGCACGTGAGCATCAGAACTGGACCACGGAGCAATAGAAGGTGGCCTAGTCTGATGAATCACGGTTTCTTTTCCATCATGTGCTGAGTGTGTGCGTGTCACAGTGACGTGCCATGCCTTCTGTGCTGGGTGAGGCATCTCCCAGCAGGCCAAAGATCCGCCCTATCCTGCCGAAGCCCCACCCCTAGCTCAGTAACCAAGCTGTGTGGGGAGGAGGAGAGGAGGAGGAAGAGAGGAACCCCCCTGTCCCTCACTTTCTGGTCACTGGTGAGGCATCGAGATCAATGTCCTCACTGGTTTTTTTTCTGATTGGACAGCTTTGCCATTGGTCCAAGCCCTCCACAGAGCTCACACCTCTAACACAGAGTAGAGGCTGACAGTTCTTGCCTCACCAAGTTAGGTTACACAAGCAGTGGGGAAGCCCGCTGCTGTGTAACCTAACTGCCTGTCAAAAGTTGGATGCAGAGCCGCCTGTAATTAACAGGCAGAGCTCCGTCCATGACAGATTACACAGCGGGCGGGGGGAGGATTTCCATGCTGTGTAACCTGTTACAAGCCGCTCTGAATGGAGAAAAAGCTGTCAGCTTCAGACTTGAAGCTTACACCTTTTTTCTTCATAATACTAAGTGATGCTCTTCCTTACCTGCCTTCCTGACCGCACATCCCTGGTGTGTCACTTACCTGGAAATAGATGGCACCAGGATGCACTACGGGAAGATGGCAAGTCAGAAGGATGGGATTGAATACAATGTATTTTAAACTGTAATCTAGAAATATCGGATACAAGTTCCATTGTAGATTCGGGTTTAAACTGAGACTTGAGAGTGTTGGCTTCAAATAAATTAAGGTGGTGGTCCCCCTTTTTAGGTGGAGTAAAAAATGATAATTAAAAGGTGCAATTTAAGGTAAAGTAATTGAGTTATATGAGGTTTTAAGTGTCCAAAATATATCATTTAGATGATCTGTTTGGTTCTCCAAGAATCCAGTAGGATTGGTTTGAACACATTTTAAACCGTAATCTAGAAGTTTTGGATACCAATAAGGCAAGATGCATTGTATTTTAAAACTGAGACTTGAAAGATGATTTTTTTTTTTATTTGAAGTTGGTGACATCAAAGAAATTATAGTGGAGAAGCAAGAAACTATAATTGATTGTTTGCTATAAGGTAAATTAATGGAATTATATGACATATTACGTGCATAAATTTATTGTTTAGGTGGATCTGTTTAGTTCTTTCCCATCCACACCCCAGACTTCTGGGAATACATGAAAGCCATGTATGGAAGGAGTACATAGTCATGTATGTGCACAATCGATGCAACCTCAAAATGTTTATT